ATGAATCAAAAAATTACTTCCGGTTCCAACCACCTAGATTCCCATAAACGTCTCTCAACCACAGCCTGTAATTTATCCATAAGGTTCATGCCTACTGAATCAATGACATGAAATGCTTCGCAAATTTAAGAGTTCTTGTTTGAATATTACAAGATTAAAATAGCCTTAAATTTAAAACATTGCCTTATTACTTCTCTTTATACCATCCCTACTTGCCAGCACAGCCACCTCACATGCAAACTTCTCAAATGCCTTTGATTTTGCAGCAACAGCAGCCATGGACACATACCAATATCCCAATGGCCCATTTGGCTGCAACCAATTGATCTCACTTCCGACGATGACTTCAACATACAGATCATGCAGGAAGAAGAAGATGCAAGACTAGGTATGCCTTAACATCACAGATCCTTTGTTTTTATAAACTTTTATTTACATTTGTCCCTTATTGGTTCTAACCCCGCTCCCTCCACATACCTCGCCACACACGTACATTCAGTCCCAGAAAATTTAGTTGATTACGATTGCCTCCCGGCAGACTACGGTGACCATGAAAATGACGCGGCTCTATCTGATTCAGCAGGTACAGCTAAAATAGATATAAATAATAGATCAGCTAAACACTTCATATAGCTCTTCTTCACTGTTCTACAGGTTCTATGTCTGGATGCAGTCACCACACCGAATGCATGTGCCCCTACCAAGAATCAGGTACACCGATTGTCTCTCACCATTTGCCAACTTTATCATATACTTTATATACCACATATAACTCATACATCTAGATGCATACACAGATTCATCCATCAGCCCCTGATGCTTCGAACAGAACAACAAGGTACTGCCTGATAACAAGATCGGCATTGGCATCTGCGCAGCTGCTACCTGATGCTTATTTATTATATATAATATGCATGCTCATGTGGACAGTAGTACCACTACATATATCGTTGCCTAACATATGCAGCCTAGAATTGTATAGTTAAGACATTCCTAGCTTTGTAGAATGTAGCCATCTAACGTATGTGCTTTACCACAACTTTTACATGTAATGTAAGCATCCTGCAAGTTCTAGTTTATCACATCACCGCAAATATGTACAGCAGTAAATCATATACGGCATGAGAACTCTACGTTGAAAAACCTCAGCTTATTCTCTTACCGGCGCGCGAAGGCGCGCGGCATTCACTAGTTGCTACCAAAGCATTAGGCTTAGGCATCATGAGACACGCCCTAGCGCCACTACAACCATTTGATTCGCGATAGATTAAGTGCTTGTTTGATGGGCTAAAAGAAAGGTGAATCGAGGTGTTGGCTAAAACTAGCAATCAGCCATCCAAGCATTTGAGGCTAACTTGAGCAGTAACTTAAACTAACTCTCTGTGCCGTCCCGGATTGTAAACCGTTTTGATATTTTTGTATGCTATGCATCTTAAAAATTGTGTTTTTGCTGAGAAGACCAAACAATTTATAATTTTGAATGAAGTGAGTACTAGTACTATAAACTATAAGAAGTTAGCATATCTATATATAAACAGGCTCTACAGGGAAAACACCATTAATTACTCCATTAGGACAAACCCGCGCGTATCACTGTCAGAGCAAGGCTAATAATACAGCCGGCTATCTCTCAGCCTATCTATATACGTCGTGTTTGCTTGATTTATAAACCATACTTTTTTAACCAACGAACAATATTTTTCTCTCACAACAAATCAGCTAACAGTACTTTCAGCCATGACTTATCAGTCAAGCGAACAGGACAATAATAGTTAGCTCTCTAGCATTAATACGTGACCCACCTATCTCTTTAACAGAGTTTGTTGATTCTTGTATCTCAGCCGCCGGTAAGCTTACAACTCTCTCTTTTTTTCTCTTTTTTTTCTCCACCTCAGCCTTCTGCCTGAGCCTACTATTATACTTACTCTCACCACCACAGACCGCTGAAATATATCCGCGATAATGATTCTCCCAGTTTATAGCTCCTCGCTTTGCCGAGACACGGGCAAAGGCCAGCAGCTAACCACGACTTGTCTAATATTCCCTCCCTGGACCTAGATGATTAAATTAAACTAAACTAGTACAGCGTCCCTAGATTTCCGGCGGAATTAACAAAACCGCGGGCAGCAGAGCGGATGCATCATGTTTAGTCCCTGTTACGTTAGATGTATAGGAGGGTGTTTAGTTTCATCGTCTACACTTTAGTCGCTGTCCCATCTAATATTTAACATATATATGCGTATTAAATATAGAATAATTACGAAGCTAAATACATAGATTAAGATTAATTTGCGAGACAAATTTTTAAGCCTAATTAGTCAATGATTTGACATTATGGTGGTACCGTAACATGTGTTAATAATGGATTAATTAGGCTTAATAAATTCGTCTCGCGGATTACTGACGGATTCTATAATTTTTTTTATTAGTATTCGAACACCTATGTGACACCTCATGTGACCGATGAGACACCTCTTAAACTTTAGTCCATGTATCAAACACCCCCTAATTTAGAGTATTAAACGTAGACTAATTATATAGATTAAAACTAATTTACGAGACGAATTTATTAAGTCTAATTAGGCTCATGTTTAATCTTTCTAATTAGTATCTAAATATTTAATGTGACATCTACTAAACTTAGGTGGTGTTTGGTTGTCCCTCCTAAATTTTAGTCGCTGTCCCATCGAATGTTTGGACGCATACATGGAGTATTAAATATAGACTAATTACGAAACTAATTGCATAGTTTGCGACTAATTTGCGAGACGAATCTTTTAAGACTAATTAGTCCATGATTTGACAATGTGGTGATACAGTAAACATGTGCTAATGCCAGATTAATTAGGCTTAAAAAATTCGTCTCACAGAGTACTAACGGATTATATAATTTGTTTTTTTATTAGTATCAAATACTCCATACAACACCTTTTCGATACACTTATAAATTTTAGTCACCGGATAAAAAAAACAACACCTTAGTCCCTGCATCAAACACAAGAAAGCCGGAGCGGAGCTGCAGGCTGCCTGCTGAGTAAGGATGAAAGCGGTCGAACTCGGTCGAAAAACTCCTCAACCATTTTCTATTTTTACATTTGAAATACGAAAGCGAAAGCAAAAGCGGACAAGCCAGACACGAAAACGAACACGAACCTACGGAATATCTAGAATTTCGGAAACGAACCAATTCGAGTGGAATTATGTCGAACACGGTTAGCATGCGAAAATTCAATACGAAATACCGATCCACAGTGCATAGCATTAAACAAGTGCACGACCAAATACATAACAAGTTCACAACTAACAAGTGCATGATCTAGTTCAAGTGCATAGCATTAAACAAGTGTACGACCAAATACATAATAAGAAAGATGAGGCTGGGCGCCGTCTATAAGAGAGGGCAGCTAGCCACCAGTAGAAAAAACATAACTGCGTGGTGAGCAGCCTGTAATTGGGTTGTATGACCTGTGCAGTTGGCCAAATTCGGTTTAAACCAAATTTTGAATTCAAAATATTTTAAATTAAAAGTAGAAAAGTAGAAAACGGTCGAAAAATGTGTAAACCGTTTTCTACTTTTACAATTTAAATACGAAATATCTCAAATGCGAAAGCGAAAACGGTAAAGTCAGACAAGAAAATACGAATTCGATCGGATTAAATATAGAAAACGATGCGGTTCAGGATATTTTCGTTCCGTTTTCATCCTTACTGCTGAGGCGGCAGCTATGGCAGGCAGGGGTGGGGGCCGCCGGGCGCATAGAAAAACCCGAGGAAATCAGTGGCAGATTGGCAGCGAGAAGCACGTCCGAGAGGGCAGGCACATGCAGGCAGGCAGGCGGGCAGCGATTCAGCGGGGGTGGCCAGGGGAGCTGGATCCCGTCGGAAAGTCCCCCTCCCCTCTCCGCCCTACTGCATAATATATTCGCCCACCATCGCCACAACTTGCACGGGGGCCGATGACTACTTGCGCCAGATGCACTGCATCGGTGCCTCCAACGTTCAACCCCTCTGTCCTCGCCTCTCTCGCGCTCTCTCTCTCTCTTCTGCCTGCCTTTGGCTCCGCGTCTGTGTGTCTCCATCGTCGCTGCGTGTATCAGGTTGACGGCCAGTCACAGGATCGGTTCCTCAATCCTCATCCGACGCAGCTAAAAACTGGCATGGACATGCTACGTCAATCGATCTCACCGTACCAGGTATGCTGCTGCTACGACTACGAGCCTAGTGCGATCGATCGCAGTCTATGGCCATCTTCGCTTGACCTTATCGGTTAGATTCAACACTATTTTTTCGGACATGAGACCATCTTTTTCTCTCGCAACAATTTAGCAGCGATAGCTCCTGCCGAACAGGGCCCGCCTTTGCTCGATGCCGATGTTTATTTGCATATGATCAGTGATCGTATCGTATGTATGGCGGCCCTCCCATGTCGAGCAGTATACCTTTTTTAGTTGATACTAATAATCCATCGTCCTAGCTATATATACTCCACGCTTATTAGTTCACTGATATATATAATGATTGCTGGGTTGAGAAATATGGTGCTCGATCTCTTTCTTGTATATTCTTTCAGCTAATAAAGGGTTGGTCTAGCTCTTTTCTGGAAGAACAAGGAATTGGGTGCCTTTTGCCTCCTACCTTTACGAGTTTTTCTTCCCTTTGTCTATGGCTTTTACCAGCTTAATTTTCCTGCTGATAAAATAACTTACACGTATGTCTTACGCATAAGCAGGTGCCGATAGATCCTTCATTCAGCTGTCTGAATATCTGATCATATCGCTTCATGTGCTGATGAGATATTTTTCGCCGAAACTGCAGTCCTAACTAGATCTGGCCTGATTCGTTCGGCGATCGAGCAGTCAGAGTTCATGACATTGAGTGCTTCAGCTCCAAGACTGCAGGCTACCTAGCAAGCTGTGTGCACTGCATGCGTGCCTTGGACTTGAGACGGCACACGCAAAGGGCAAGGTATCGACTGAACCCAACGCTCCGGTCTGATCCTCATGTTCTTGAGCCCCAGAAACGATGAGCACCCGGAGGACATCCAGAGACTGATCAACAGTGCCGGTAGTCCAAACAACCGCAGTCCATCCGCCGCGCTGCCCAGCGACATGGAGAGCGGCGGCGGCAGGGGCGGCGGTGGAAGCGCGTCCTCGTCGCGCGCTTCAACGTCCGACCAGGGGGCCGCCCACAGGGAGGAGGAGCGGGAGCCTGCTAGCGGCGATGGCGGCACGGGTAGCCTCTGGTCCAGGTACTTCTCGCTCCCGGTCCTGCTGCTCGTCGGCGTCACCGCGTCGCTGGTGATCCTCCCGCTCGTGCTCCCCCCGCTACCGCCGCCGCCGTCGATGCTGATGCTGGTCCCGGTGGCAATGCTGGTCTTGCTGCTCGTGCTGGCGTTCATGCCGACGTCGTCGAGCGTCCGCGCTGGGACGGGGACGGGGCCGACCTACATGTAGATAATCACATCGGTTTTTTTCTGTTTCTTTTGTCCTTTCGTTTGGATTTTGTTTTAGAGAGAGGTCATGCGATGATCAATTGGTCCTCAGCTTCTGCACTTTTTTTTTGACTGAACTGGAGGGGTGAATCGTACAATGTCACTGTTCAGCTAATTAATTTGCGTAGTTATATTATTATAGCCGGGTATATATGCTTATAGTCACAACAGTATGTTCGAGAACGTTAAATTATTTAACTTTTTATTTGTTCAAGTTCTCATCATTTATGCACTCTGATGTGATATATATACTAGAAACAACACACAACATTTGGTTGCTTTAACAAACTACATTATTACAGTTTCTTTTACCGGGCGGGTTTACAAATTCAGACTGTTTCATGTAAATTTCCAAGGCCATATATCAATTTTCCAGGTCGGTAGGTGATCGACGACCGTGCGATACATACATATATAGGAGAGCGAGTTCTGCCAGCTCACCATGACCAAAACGGTCACAAAAATCAAAATGATACTTTTTCTGATGATAAATAATATATACACTTGAAAACCAGGCGCGGGAGCAACCAGCCTGTGAGAACAACGAAATGGTTGAAATTCACCTCCTTTATAAGGTTTTAAGTGACTTGGAGATCGGGATATGAGGACATGAGCTATAAAGTTTTTGACATATAGGAGCAACAAAGTAAATATCGTGCATGCTGATGTAGCAATGTGATATATTTTTAGCAATTGCAAGAATGACTACTAACAAGCTGAGAGAAGGCATAAACGATCAAATTTAATTGGAGGTTGCACTGACATTGTTTGATCTGTGAACTTTGTTTCAGAAATAATCTTGGTGAAAGGGTGTTCACTTAGATCACTTATTATACAATTAAATTTGTCTGTCTTCAAGATAGTATAAAGCAAATGATGATAAAAACAGGCTTCATGTAATTATAGCTAAAAACTGAATATTTTCTGTAGCTAAATTTATAGTTATGGATAAAGCCAGCTGCGAGGGTATGAAGATAGCGCCAACGATTCCTATCAGAGTGTGACATTTTTTTATCACTATCTTTAGTTATCAAACATAGAAGTAGCAAAATTTCTATGAGAAGAACATAAAAGATTGAGCAACTAATAAAAAGCTATATTCTAATGTCTTTTTATTACCTTCGTCGGAGTTTTGAAACTCAATGGTATTCAGGTGGTTGCTATATAAGCTTCACTGATGCTTAAGGGCAGATTTCAAGAGTGCAGCCCCTAACTTTATTTAATAATTTCAGAAAGAACAACACTTACATATATCTTTAGTGCAAGGAAAATAAAGTGTTTAGGTGTAAATGTTACCATGCCTTGAGAAGAAGAGAGTACAATAATTTTCTGAAAGAGCAACACTTATTCTGTTCTTTTCTTATTCTCTTCCCTTGCTGTATTTTTTGCTATGTTAATTATCTTATTATTTTGGAATCTGGTTGGATATTTCTCTATTTCAAGAGCAAAAGATACATTATGCATACAGAGTATAACCACATTTAACTGTTCCTTTTAATTTTAAGACACATTAGGTATACAGAGTATTACCAAGTTCAACTGGTCCTTTGAATTTCATAAGAGTTTGTGTGTGTGCGCGTGTGTTGAAATTTTTCAGTAGGACACACGAGGGGAGTAATAACCCCCTACTAAAACAGAAAGCTGCATCGGTACCAATGTTCAATGAAAAATACAAAAAAATGACCATGAAAAATGATAACTGCTCCAAAACCATAGAGTTCTTGTTTTGCAAATTCATCAATAGTCAAAATAATTTATTAGCACTCAAGATTCCATACATTTAAAAAACCATTTGATCTCTGCAACCTGGAACTCTAGAGCCTTTTATAATTAATTGAACCTGCTTAACAAAATAACATGTTCCATATTTTAAAAAGTTATCAACGGACGTTTCATTAATCATCGAAGCTTCCAACTAATTCATCCCACTGTATACAAAAGGTGAAATGAGATTTGCTCTATTGAGTAAGGTAGCATTCAGAGAGAAGAATAGGAGACATAAACCTTTATGCTAGCAGCATGTCCTTACTGGGGGCCTGTTCGGCAGGACTGAAAAATACTGTTCCGGCTGATTGTTGTGAGAGGAAAATACTGTTCTGACAGGACGTGAACAGTACCCCGCTGAGTGGCCTGGTCAGCCCCAGCCAGCCGAACAAGCTCTGGGTCTATCTTCTTACTACGACGCAAGGTACAGATCAAAGGAGAATGGCCAAACATGAGTTGAAATTATTTTTGTATAACAAGCAATGAGGGATTTGGCATGGCAAGCAGTGCGGTGTCCTTCTGAATCAAGCAGCAGAAGGGTCCACCCTGGTCATTATTAATCAGTGATTTCTCGTCTGAAGCAGAAACCGGTGGACCTTATATGTCACCAAAATGGTGCTGAGAAATCTCCTCGAGTGTTTCCTTGGTCAGCACCTAATTGTTGGCTAATGCTGGATTGTCTGAGGTGATCTTCTATGAGACGAATATATCCAGGTGGTTCACTAGATCTTTAGCCGACATCAGCAATCATGCCCTATTCGTTTGGGCTTGTTTGGCTGATAAGCCATGGCTGAAAGTACTGTTGGCTGATTTGGTGTGAGAGAAAAATACTGTTCGTTGGCTGATAAGCCATGGCTTATAAGCCAAACACGACCAAGCGAACAGGCTGAGCCCATGCACCTTTAATTAACTCTGAAAGCATTTAGGCCCCTAATTGGGTTTTGGTGATTAATGACAATGTTAGATTACTGTGATTAACGTGTGTTTTGCAGAGGCAATTAAGTTAGGTCACGGTAATAGAGATTGATTGGGCAATCAAGGTTGTCATGCCCCTATGATGGAAATCATTTCGGTTTTCAAAGAATGGACGACAAAGTTAACGATGACTAGTTCTAAGTGTCGATTGGAGTTGGAGAGACACTTAGAGTAGTTTAGGACTTTATTTTTCCTTTGGCCGTACTATTAAGGGGGTATGGACGGGTAACTTGACCTAAGTGAGTCTAGTGAGTTAGGTGTGGTGCACACTTGTTAAAACTAGCACTAGGTAGCTCCTAAATATGCCTAAGATCCTTTAGAGCAAACTTCATTCACAAATGATCGAGAGTTGGAAGTGAATGGAGGGTCAAAGACTGACCGAACGCTGGCTCCGGTGCGACCGGACGTTGGCCGCAGGGTCCGGTCAGTTCATTTGACTGAGGTGAACTAGTCCGGTTTGACCAGACGCTGGAGAGGCCAAGTGACCGGACGCTGAGGGCCAGTGTCCGGTCGACTCCAGTAAGGTTCCAGAGAAGAGAATCTGCGACTGGACGCGTTCGGTCAGTGCTGACCGGACCCTGGGGGTTCTGCGTTCGGTCAAGTACAGTAAGCATCCAGTGAGGGAAATATGGGACCGGACGCGTCCGGTCAGTGGTGACCGGACCGTGCCAGCGTCCGATCAACACTTAAACACTGGTGTGCGGGTTGAACTGACCGGAGCGTCCGGTCAACATGATCGGAGCGTCCGGTCACCCCGCAGAGGCACATAACGGTTCGTTTTTTAGGCTGTCTTATAAATAGAAGCTCCACTCGTGTGTGGAGTGACTTTTGCTCATTTCAACAGCTGAAACACACCTTAGAGAGTGCCAAGAAGAGCAAGGTCCTAGTGAGGTGATTGAGATTTGAGAATCCAAAGAGAGCCCTCATTAGTGAAGATCAAGAGTAGCAAAGTGTGCATCCACCCTTCTCCCTAGGCTTGTTGTGGTCAAGTGAGAGTTCGTGCTTGTTACTCTTGGTGATCGCCATCACCTAGACGGCTTGGTGGTGATTGAGAGCTTGGTGATCATCCGAAGAGCTTGTGGATGACCCAACTCAAGTTGTGAGCGGTTGTGGGTGATTCACCGCGATGGAGTGTCAAATAATCAACCCGTAGAGAGCACTTGATCTTTGCACGGATCAACGGGGAGCTACACCCTTGCACGGGTGCTCCAACAAGGACTAGTGGGGAGTGGCGACTCTCCGATACCTCGGCAAAATATCGCCGCGTTTCCTCTCCTCTCGTTACTTTGAGCATTTCAATTCTTGTCATTTACATTCCTAGAATTGCCATGCTAGAGTAGGATTGGAACTAGGTTGCTAAACTTTGTTCGTTAGATCAATAGAAACACTTCTCTAGGCACAAGGGGTTAATTGGGCTAACCATAGGACTTGTTTATTGCGAAGAAATTTAGAATTAGCCCAATTCACCCCCCTCTTAGGCATCTTGATCCTTTCAATTTATATCAAAGCCTCGTGCTCATGTTTTTAAGCTTAATCGCTTAGAGCAAGATGTCTCACGGGGATGGTCCTCCTCCTATCTTCGAGAGGGATAATTTTCTATATTGGAAAATTCACATGGAGGCGTACCTAGAAGCTCTAGACGTTGGAATACTTAGAGCCGCCTCACATGGGTTCCCAAAACCTAGGAATCCCGCACAACTTCAAGGCGATGAAGTGAACTATGAAAAATAGAATGCAAAGGCTCGCAACACCATCTTTAGAGGCCTTTGCAAAGATGTGTTCAACCGCGTAAGGAACCACAAAGACGCCCATGCACTATGGTCGGACGTTTGTGCGCTCCATGAGGGAACAAAGAGTGAGCGTGAGGAACGCTATCATCTTGTCATGAAAAAGCTCAACTCTTTTGAAATGCTTCCTAAAGAATGTGCTAATGAAATGTATTCATGTTTGAATATTCTTGTAGAGAAAGTCAATGGGCTTGGACTTACTCAAATGTCACCGTCCAATGTTGTGAGAAAGATCTTGGGTGTCCTTTCCATTGACAAATATGGGCATATTGTGACCATGCTACATCAAGGTGATCTTTCCACCGCTACACCGACACAAATCTTGGGAAAGATCAATGCTCATGAAATATACATGCACATCACACCTCAAGATGGCTCATCCTCTACTAAGAAGAAAGAAAAAGATTTAGCATTCAAAGCTAGTCAAGATAAGGGC